TGTACATTATTATTATAAAAATAGAAAAAAAGTTTATATAAAAAAAAAATAAAATAAAAAAATAAAATTAAAAAAAAAATTAAAAAAAAAAAAAAAACTAATTTTTTTTTATGGGCGAGGATAAAAAGTTTAAAATTTTTTTTATTTATTTTAATTTTTTTTATTTTTATTTTTATTTTTATTTATAGTTATAGTTTTTGCCCAAGCCAAAAAATCTTATTTTATTTAAAAACGTTAAAGCCACTCAACCTGATATTTTTTCTTTTTTTTAAAATTTTGAATATAGTTATAAATTATTTTTTTTTAATTAATGTTATCGTGGACTTTCAAAAGTTGAAAAAAAAAAAAAAAATATTTTTAAACTTTCTTTGCAGAATGAATAAAGTTATAAATTCCAGTCATTGAGAAAAAATAAAAACCACACAACACATAAACACATAAAATGGCACACAAAGAATTTAAATTGAATCACTTACCCTTAACAGCACCAAAGACAATTACAATCAAAATAAAAAAATAAAAAAAATAAAAATAAAAAAAATAATAGAATAAAAAAAAAAACTATTTTTTTTAATTTTTTTTAATTATTTTTTTTATTTTTTTTATTTCATCAAACTATTGCAAAAATAATATCATTTGTAAGCAATATCATTCTGTTTTATACTTTAAAAAATTGGATGATTCCATCAAAAAAAATAAAAAAATAAAAAATAATAAAATAATATTTTTTTTTGGGGTTTTTTTATTTTATTCTTTTTATCAAATTCAATTCATATTCCGGGATTCAATTTCAATCTTTATTAGGGTTGATTGAAACAATATTTAAATTTAAAAAATAAAAAAAGAAATAAATATGGGTTATTTAATACTTTTATTATTTATTGAACACTATATATTGCCTCATTTTCAATCAACCCTAAAAACAACAACACACTTTATGATCAAATTATTCAAATTAAAAAATTAAAAGGAAAATTAGATTATATTTTAATTTTTTATAATTCTATTTTAAATTTAAAAGGAATAAGGGTATATTCATTAATAATAAATGGATAAATAAATAAATAAATAAATAAATATATAATCCAATTAACCACCATTTTTAATTTTTTTTTTTTTTGATTTTTTTTTTTTTTTTTTTTTTTTGATTTTTTTTTAAATTATTTTTAAAAATTTTTTTATTTTTGTTTAATATTATTTATTTATTTACAATTGTATAAATTTTTTTTTTTTTTATAGTCCTTATTGTAAAAATAGAAACTATTGTAACAATAAATTAAAGATATTTTCAAATATACATAGATATCTTTAAGAAAAGAAAAGAGAAAAAATTATTTTTGGGTTTTTTTATTTTTTTTTTTATTTTTTTAATTTTTTTTGTAATAATAAAAAAAAAAAACCAACAATTCACTCACACAAAAACAAAAAAAAAAACAACAACAGCAGCAACAGCAGCAACTACAGCAACACAGTCCCTATATTTTTTTTTATTTTTGTTTTATTTTAATAACTAGATTTTAAAATAATAGAAAATGTCAAAAAATAAAGAAACTGAAGAAATAAAAAAAAATGTTAACGTTGGCAATTATGTAGGTTCTTACTATAGTTTTAATTTAATATAGTTAGTGATATGTTTTGATATTAATATACATTTTTAATATAGAATTTAGGTGTTGTAATTGGTAAAGGTGGTTTTGGTACTGTATATCAAGGTCTAGATATTGAAGATGGTGATTTTGTGGCCATTAAACAGATTAACCTTACTAAAATTCCCAAAGATCAACTACAGGGTATTATGAACGAAATTGATCTTTTAAAGAATCTTAATCATGCAAATATTGTAAAATATATTAAATACGTTAAAACTAAAGAAAATTTATATATCGTTTTAGAGTAATTATTTAATATTATAATCATTATAAATTTTTATTTTTTAAACACTTTATTAATACTATTTTTTTAATTTTTTTTAGGTATGTAGAAAATGGTTCATTATCAAGTTTAATTAAAAAGTTTGGTAAATTCCCAGAATCATTGGTTTGCGTTTATATTAGGCAAGTTTTAGAGGGTTTGGTTTATCTTCACGAACAGGGTGTCGTCCATAGAGATATTAAAGGTGCAAATATTTTAACAACCAAAGAGGGTAAAATTAAATTGGCAGGTATGTAGTTTTAAACATCTTAAAATTTTTTTATAAATAGCTACTGATATTAACAATAAATTTTTATTTTTAATTAATTTTAAAAGATTTTGGTGTTGCTACAAAATTTGATGATTCATCAGCAGCAGCAGTAGTTGGTACACCATATTGGATGGCGCCAGAAATTATTGAATTAAATGGTGCAACTACAAAATCAGATATTTGGAGTGTTGGTTGTACAGTTATAGAGTTATTAACAGGTTCACCACCATATTACGATTTAGGACAAATGCCAGCACTTTTTAGAATTGTACAGGATGATTGTCCACCACTTCCAGAAGGTATTTCACCACCATTAAAAGATTGGTTAATGCAATGTTTTCAAAAGGATCCAAATCTTCGTATTTCAGCACAAAAACTTTTAAAGCATAAATGGATTCAAGCAAGTATTAAAAAGAAACAACAAAATGAAGATACATCCCCAGCAAATATTGATGATATCGCTAAAAATATTCAAGATTACAATGAAAGAATTAATAAAAAACCATCTCATCAAAGAAAACCTTCAATTCATCCCAAATCTCCAAAAGGTAAAGTCTTCCTTCCACCACCAGAAGAGGATGAAGATGAATGGGGCGATGATTTTTCAAATACACCAAAATCAATAAAATTACCAGATAAGAAATCACCATTAAAGACCAAGGCACCAGCACAACAATCACCATTAAAATTACCAAACAACAATAACAACAATAATAATAAACCAGCTGCTGGTGGTCTTAAATTAACTCCAAAAATTGTTGCACCAGAAGTTGATGATGACGATTGGGGCGATGATTTCGGAACAAATACAGTTTCAGATTTATCAAAAGCAGTGTCAAGTTTAAAGATCAAAGGAGATGGTGCAGGTGGGGAAGACGACAAAGGTTTTATTGAGGACGATGAAGACGATGACGATGGATTTGGTGATGATTTCGATAGTGTACCAACATCAATTAAATTAAACCCAAAATTTGGATCCAATATAAAATCAACATCATCAGGAGCAGCTGCATCAGCCTCAGGAAACAATAGTGCATCAAATAGTGGTAAATTTGGTTCAAGTAAAAGCAATTCAAAAACCCCATTATCACCAAGAGGTACTGGTACAACAGGATCTAATTCATCATCAAACGCAGCAACAATCAATAAAGGTATGATTGATCAATGGGGTGAGGATAAAGACGATGAAGGTTGGGGAGATGTCGCAACTGTACATTTTGATCCAAAATTAATTAGAAAAGGATCAGTTAATAAACCAGATCTTTCAACTCGTTTAAAGAATAGATTAGCAGTATCATCAGAAAGCAGTTCAATTAATGATGAAGAAGATGACGATCCATTTGCAGATGATTTCGAAGAAGAAGAGGACGATTTTGATTTAGATAAGAATCTTATGAAGGATAATTATGCAAGAATGTCAGCAGATATCATCAAACTTATGAACCTTTTAACACCAGAGCAACCAGAGGATGTTATTTCTGGTGCATGCGAACAATTAATTTCAATGTTTAAAGAAAACTCTGAACAAAAGACCCTCTTAATTAGAAGACATGGTGTTATTCCAATTATGGAGATGTTAGAGGTATCAAATATTCAATCACATGTTCTCTGTAGTATTCTTAAGGTCGTAAATCAAATTATCGATAATAATATGGAAATTCAAGAAAATCTTTGTTTGGTTGGTGGTATCCCAGCTATTATGAAATTCTCTGGTCCAGAATATCCACCATCAGTTCGTTTAGAAACTGCTGCCTTCATTAGTAAAATGTGTAGTACATCAACTCTTACTCTTCAAATGTTTATCGCTTGTAAAGGTCTCCCAATTCTTGTTGACTTTCTTTTATCACCATATTATGAAAGTAAAAAATTGGTTTGGATGGCCATTGATGCAATTGTCAATGTTTTCGAATTACAAAGTCCAACACCAAAGAATGATTTCTGTCGTCTCTTCTCAAAATGTGGTTTATTAAAAACCTTACCAATTGTATTAAGAGACACCATTGCCGATGGTGAAGCCTCCCAATATCCAGATAAAATTATTAATCTTTTCATCTTGTTCTCTAGTGCCGACAGTGTCGTAAGAAGATCAATGTCTGCTGTAGAGGTTATCAGACCAATCCTCGATTCACTCTCACAATTAATGCCAGAGCAATTGGTTAAGGTACTCAAATCAATAAAACAAATCTCTATGGATCACAACACTTTAGCAAATCTTCAAAATGCTGGTGCTATTCGTGTTATGGTACCATTTTTAGGTCGTCGTACTGGTACTCACTGTGCCGAAATTCATAATCATGTTTTAAATACAATGTTCCATTTGTGTCGTATTGATGCAGAGCGTCAATATCAAGCCGCACTCGATGGTATTATCCCACATTTACAATACTTTATCACTACCCATTCACCACTTAATCAATTTGCTCTTCCAATTATTTGCGATCTTGCACATTCAAAGAAAGCAAGAGCCGAGCTTTGGAAACACAATGGTGTCGAATTTTATCTCTCACTTTTAGAAGAAAGATATTGGCAAGTTAATGCTTTGGATTCACTCGCTGTTTGGATTGCTGATGATACCCACAAGGTCGAAAATATTGTATCTAAACCTGAAAATATTAAAAAACTCGTTCACTTATTTACAAATGCAGAGTCACAATCATTTGCAGGTATTCTCGAACCATTATTAAGAATTATTCAAATTGCTATCCCAGTCAATATGTTATTAGGTACCTCTAACTTTGTCTCTAAAATTATTGATAAGCTTACCCATACAAATCCACAAGTTCGTTTAAATCTCCTAAAAATTATAACTTCATTATATGAAGCTCATCCAAATGCCAAGAAGATGATTCAAGACTTTAAACTTATTCCAGTTATTCAAAGAATCGCAGATACTGATAAATCTGTTTTGGTTCAAAAAATGGCTAGTAAATTATTAGAAGCTTTTAATGCAAATAATGTTATTTAATAATCAGAAAGAGGTAAAAAAACAAAAAAAAAAAAAAAAAAAAAAAAATTGAAACATTATAAAAAAATAATGAATCACACACCAACAAAATCACACAATATATACAATTGTTAATAATAGTTGATAATAGTATAAATAGTAAAATATAAAATTTAAAAGTATATATATAAAATTTAACTGTATAATTATTTAAATAAAAATATAAAATCCAAACAAACTCAAAAAAAAAAAAAAAAAAAAAAAAGAAAAAAATCTTTTTTTTTTGTAAAAGAGAAAATCATAAATAATTATTTGTGATGATATTACTAACAATTTCTCTTTTTGTAAATCATTTATTTTTAAAAATTATTTGTCTAAAGTGATATTGTAGCACCTAAAATTATTATCAAGAAATAATAATAACTCTCAATCTGCTTGTAGTTTTTAAGCGATTTTATTAAGATCTAAAAAGGAAAGATAAAATATTACACTTTTTTTATTATAATAGTTTGTATATCAAATAATAAAAATAAATTTATTAATAAAGAAATATAAAAAAATAAATCATAAATAAAAAACACTCACAATATTCACCCCCACAGAATTATTGATTTTTTTTGTGTATCTGTGGGGGTAGTGTGGTTAAATTTAATATTTTTTTTTTTTTTAAAAAATATTTTTATTTTTATTTTTATTTTTAAATTTATATTTTTAATTTAAATTTTGTTTGTTTGGTTGTTTTTTTTTTTTTCTTTTAATAATAAGTTGGTGAAAAAAAAAACACATATAAACACAAGCATACAATAATTTTTACATATAGCATTAAATATTTATTTATTATTTATTTATTTTTTTATCAATACATATAATTTAAAAAAAATTAAAAAATAAAAAAATTTAATCAATATAAAAGTCATAAATATAATATATAATATTATACAGAAAAGAAATGTCTAATGATAAAGAACCATATTCAAAAAAACCTGCTAGTAAGTATATAATAAAAAAAAACATTTTATATAGAAACAAGTATTAATATATTTTTTTTTAAAAAATATAAATTTACAGATACAGCATTTAAGCAACAAAAATTAAAAGCATGGGAACCAATTTTAACACCAGCTCCAGTAATTATAGCATTTATTGCAATTGGTGTGGTATTTGTAATTATTGGTGCATTTATGATTAGCTCAACAAATAAAGTTATCGAACATACAATTAGATATGACGATATACCAGCATGTCGTGATAATATGGGTATTGATGGTAAAAACAAATGTGATATAACAATTAATATCCCAACACCAATGAAACCACCAGTTTATTTATATTATAGATTAGATAATTTCTATCAGAATCATCGTAGATATGTAAAATCAAGAAATGACGATCAATTAAGAGGAATTGTAGTTACTGATTTTAATAAACTAAAAGATTGTGAACCATTAATTACATCTGATGGAGAAAATTCCTCAATTGATAAAATATTGGTACCATGTGGGTTAATTGCAAATAGTAAATTTAATGGTAAGTAATTAAAGCTTATAATCAAAATATATAAAAAATATAATATAATATACTAATATTATTTTTAAATATAGATACATTTTTAATGTTCACTAAAAATAATACCTATATTAATTTAAGAAAGAAAGGTATTGCATGGACAAGTGATGTAGAAACCGTATGATATCATTTTATAATAATATAAATATTTTTTAATTATTTTCTAATAATTTTAATTTTTAGAAATTTAAAGATTATCCAGCTAATGGTACAGGTATTATTACATTTAATAAATTCAGTGATGAAGATTTTATTGTTTGGATGAGAACAGCAGCATTACCAGATTTTAAGAAATTATACAGAATTTATGATGGTCCAGAGCCTTTAACTGATTCAGTCAGAGTAGAAATTACCAATTGTAAATATCACATTATATAAATTTTTATATAAATTTTATTTATATACTAATTCTCTTTATAGATTACCCAGTTCAATCATTTAATGGAAAGAAGTATGTTGTTTTATCAACTGCCAGTTGGATGGGTGGAAAAAATCCATTCCTTGGTTATGCCTATATTATTGTTGGAATTATATGTTTTGTTCAAGGAGTAGTATTTTTAGTTAAACATTATGTTTCCCCAAGAAAGATGGGTGATATGAAATATTTGGATTGGAACGCAAATAAATAAAATCGAAACAATATTTCATACTTTATTCAATATATCAAGTAACAATAAATAAAAACTTTTTTAAAAAAAAAATAGAAAAAAAAAAAAAAAAATTTGTAAAATAAACTTTATATTAGTATTTAATCATTCTTTGATAATAAAATAAATATCTTTTTTTTTTTTTTTTTTTTTTGTATTAAATTATATTAATTTATTTGTGTTATCTAATAAAAATACATCTTTATGCATCGTTTAATAAATTCCATGCTTTGTTCATATTTTCTTTAAAGTCAAAATCCATAAAGTTTCTCCATTCTTCTCTATCATCATAAAAAACTGTACCTGAAATATTTAACCACATTTCTTTTGCTCTCTGAAGTTTCCAACCGTCTACCCACTGTTCATGGTTAATTCCTTTAATATATTTATCGGTGTGTGCTTTTATAAACTCTGCAGCTCTTTGTGCTCTAACCCAATCGACAAAATCCAAATTACCTCTTGCATTGGTCCAACTTGATACAAAACGGTATGGATCTGGGACTCCGATTGATTCATAAAATTTGTCTAAATTTGATAAACCTGCATAACCTTGGACCCAGCTTGATTCGACTAATGCACCTGTATTTACCATCTTAATTTCGTTTTCTCTTTCTTTACACTTTAAATACATCCATTTAATTCTCTCAAAACCATTATCATCAAGCCAAAAATCTACATCTGCTGATAATACTATTCTTCCAATATGATTTCTTCTGCAATAATTTATAATTTCATCGATCAATATTTCAGCTTTATAATATCTATGGAAATCGCTTGGTAAAATTTCGTTAGCTGTTGCAAGTACTTTTAAACCATTCGATAATTGAAAAACATTTCCTTTGTTGTGTTGTGCAGAAAAATCACTACCAAATGCTTCACCACCTATAATGCAATATTCATAACCTTCCTCTGCAACTGCTCTACTAGTTTGGATACTAAAAACTTTCTTTAAAAATTATAATGTAAATAATAAAATAATAAAAAATAATACATAAAAATATGATACCTACTTCGCTTGGGCAAAAACCTCTTGGAGAACGCTCAAAAAGGTTCCACATAACTTCGTTTGTATGTTTGATATCCTCTTTAACAAATCCGTTGATATATGCGTCAATATAGTGATCCTCTCTTAAGCATGGCTAAAAAATTAAATAGAAAATTAATACCAATTTTAATGAAAATAATTATTAATAATACATACTTGAGCCAAACCCATTGCATGCCATGTTGACCCTATAATTTCTGATTGTTCCCAAACTGAGTAAATATTTTTATTTGAAGTTCTCATTCTAATTGAACCTTGTATAGATGGATCATTTCTGACAATAGCTTCCATAGTTTGACCTGTCATTGCCCAACTGACTGGAATACCTAATCCACCATTCTCTGATTCGAACCATAAACATTTATCCTAATTTAATGTTATTATTATTATTTATTAGTTATTTAAAAAAAATTAATTTCATTGCAAAAATGAATATAAAAAAATAAATAATTATTATATTTACAATTAATCTTGCTAATTTATGAGCTGGTACATCATTACCAATATCAGCCCATGGACAAAATGAAAAGAGAATTGGCATTGTGAAATTCTTTATATAATAGATTAAACCAAAAAACTTTAATAAAAAAAAAAAAAAAAAGAGAAAATTTATAGCAAAAAAAAATTAAAAAATTAAAAAACATAAAAAAAATTTAAAAAAAATAAAAAAATAAAATATATTTTTCGAATAGATCCAAATGAAAATATAAATATATATTAAAATAAAAAAAAAAAATAAAAAAATATATTTTTTTTTTTAAAAAAAAATTATACTAGTTTATTAATCTAATTTTGATTTTTCACTATTGCATTTATCTATTAATGGTTTAATTAACATCAACCATTGAGAATTGAAATTTGATTCGGAGAATCTTTCGGTTGATTCTCTGGCTTTTCTTTGCATGTCTCTATACTTTTCACGATAGGCTAAAATCTCGTGGATATATTCGGCATATTCTTCTTTTGTAGTTGCAAGGAAACCAGTTTCTTCGTTTTTGATAATATCTTCTTTTGGACCACCAGAGTTATTACCGACTGGTACTACACCAGCAGCCATTAATTCAACAACACCAATACCAAAATGTTCATTCCACATAGTATGGATACCAACGGATGCTTCGCCTAATAATTGATTTAATTGATTTGCAGGAATACTAATTTTGAATTCAACATGATCTTCGATTTTTAATTTTTTAGCCAACTCTTCTAAAGCACTAACACGATCACGGTCATCTTGGTCTCTAACACCACCAACTAAAACTAATTTAGTTCTTAATTGATTCTTGTGAATTGGGTATTTTTGTAAAAGATGTGCCAATGTTTCTAATTGAAGTGAATGATTTTTCTCTGGACGGAATTGTGCAATCGATAATATCATATTCTTTCTATTCATCCAATCTAATGGTAACTCCTTTCTATTCTCTACATCAACTGGTGGGTATAATTTAAATAAATTCTTTCCATATTCTTTTTTCCAAATATTTTTAATATGATTACCTGTCCAAGTTCCATTTACCATAACTAATTTTGAAAAACTACCAACTAAATAGTAAATCTTTGCAAAAATCTTATAATATCTGAATAAAAAAAAAATATTAATATTTGAAAATTTATAAACTATTAAGTGTGGGTTTATACTTACATTAATTTACCAAATGTTAAATATTTATTTGATGAAATTGATTTATCGTTATTAAATGATTCTGAATTTAATTCGACTTTTGAAATCATATCGCTACTAATGGTTGGATAATGGACATAACATGAAACGATGGAACCTCCAATAAGTGAAAATATTGGGAATGTGAAAGCATAACCCATTGTATCACAAAATATAGTTGGATTAAATAGATTTAATGCTTCCCAACCCAAAATCATTGAGCCTAAACTTTGACCAATTAATGTAAATCTTGGGTAGGTTGATGCTTCGACCCATTTTCTTTTAGTTAATCTTATAAATTTACAATTTTCTCTATTTAATTGAATATCGAATGTTGATGTTACTTTATCAAAAATTTGTTCATCGCTTTCTTTATCACCTGTATAAACATAGTATTTAATATCTGGGTATGAATCTTGTAATGATTTAATTGCACACCATAATACTCTTTCACCACCACCTCCTGCAGTGCTAAAAAATGGTTTTTAAAAAATATTAGTATTAACAATTTCTTTATTTTTTTTTTTTTTTTTAAGTTTAATATTACCAATATGGATGGAAGAAACCAATTGATATATTTTTTTTGTCTCTTTTACTTGAATATTTTATTCTTAATACAAATAACAAAATAATTGTGCATATTATTAAAGGCACAACCAATACAATTAAGGTTGAAAGTAATGCTGCTAATGTCATTGATATAGTTAAACATATAAGTATCATAATAACAATACTAAATATTAAAATAACACCCATCTTCCAAATTAAAATAAAAATATTAAGAAAAAAAAAAATATTTTATTTTCAAAAAAAATAAAATAAATTTAAAAAAAAAAGAAATTTATTTTTTTTTATTTTTTTATTTTGATAAAATATATTAAAATATTTGAAAAAAAAAATGAAATTTAGTTTAAGGGTGTCGTGTCACCATTTTTTATTGTAAAATGTATATATAATCAAAAAAGTATATATATTGGATAATAAACAATAAATAATCTAAAAAAGTAAATTAATTGCGAAAAAAAAAAAATAAAAAAATTTAATAAAAAAATTTTAAATTTAAAAAAAATTTAAAAAAAAAAAAATAATAAAAATAAAAAGGGGTTTATTCATTTATTAAATTATTTTTTTCTTGTATTATATTATAAAAAAACACAAAAGATAAACTAATAAATAGTAAAATGTTAAAAGGAAAAACTTTATTTATTACAGGTGCCTCAAGAGGTATTGGAGAAGCAATTGCTAAAGCGTATGTTAATTATAATTTAAATAATATTTTTATTGTTCACTAAAAAAATATTTACAATAATTATTTTATTTCTATAATAGTGCCGCAAAAGAAGGTGCTAATATAGTTATTGCAGCTAAAACTGCTGATCCACATCCAAAATTAAAGGGTACTATTTATTCAGTTCAAAAAGATATTGAAGCATTAGGTGGTAGATGTCTTGCCTGCTCAGTTGATATTAGATATGAGGATCAAATTGAAAAAGCTGTAGAAGAGGCTGTTAAAACTTTTGGTGGAATTGATATTTTGGTTAATAATGCTTCTGCTATTTCATTAACTGGTACTTTAGAGACACCAGCAAAGAAATTTGATTTAATGGTAAATATTGGAAACAATGATTTAATATATAATAATAAAGATTCTAACTATTAATTATTACTTTTATTACTATTTAGATGGGTGTTAATGCTAGAGGTACATATTTAACAACACAAAAGTGTTTACCATACTTATTAAAATCAAAAGATGGCGGTAGAGTATTAAATATTAGTCCACCATTAAATATGGATAAAAAATGGTTTTCAAATCATCCAGCTTACACCATGGCTAAATATGGTATGTCAATGTGTGTTTTAGGTATGGCTGAAGAATTTAAAGGTAAAGTTGCTTTCAATGCTCTTTGGCCAAAGACATCAATTTATACTGCAGCTATGGAAATGTTAGGTGGATCTGATGTTGCCAAAGAATGTAGAACTGTAGATATCATGTCTGATTCAGCCTTATGGGTATTTAAACAACCAATCTCAAACACTGGAAATTTCTTTATTGACGAATATTGTGTCAAACAAGCCGGTGTTACCGATTTAGAAAAATATTCAATTGTTAAAGGTGCCAAATTAATGAATGATTTCTTTTTAGACGATGATGTAGATTATTCAATTGCAAAAAATCAAATTCACAGAACAACTCCACTTTCAAAATTATAAATAATAATGTTCATTAAATAATAAAATAATATATACACAAAATAATAATTATAATAATTTATATTTTTTAGTTTTTTAATTTTAATTTATTTTTTTTTTTTTTAGTTTGTGGTTGGGCGAAATACAAAAATCCACAACGAAACTTAGAGAGTTGATTTTTATTATTTTTTTTTTTTCAAAACCATTTGTAAAAGCTAACGTGTTTAGAATCGGATAAAATACATCATAATTTATGAATAAAAAAAAAAATAATAAAAATAAAATATATTTTAATTATTGAAATAATTTAAATAAAATCGATAAAAAAAATGTTTTAAAGAAAAAAAAAAAAAAAATAGAAAATTGGGAAGAATTATTATGATAAATTTTAATTATTAAATTATTATTTTAGTTTTAAGGTTTAAAAAGACATAAATGGACGTTAACGTGCCTCTTTGATAGAAAAATAATAATGCCATAAAAAAAAAATTTTATTAATTTTATTTTATTTTTTTAAAAACAATTTATTTTATTTTATTTTTTTTTTTTTTTTACGTAGCAATCAAAAAAAAAGATTTTTTTTTTTTTTTTTTTTTTTTATTTTTTTAATGTTATATACTTTTTTTTTTATAGATATTGTCTTTTATATTTTTTCAAATTGACTTTTTTGGAGTAATTTATCTCCTTTTTTTTCCTCTTCTTTTTCCTCTTCTTTTAAAAAAAATAAAAAAAAAATAATAAATAAATAAAACAATGTTTGGTTTTAATAAGAATGATTTAAACCAACACACAGATCAAAACCCACAACCACTACAACCCAACATTAATAATAATAATAATAGCAATAGTAATAATATTAATAACAATAATTTTTTACTACCAGATGATTTATCTGTAAAAAAAGAGATGAGTGATTCGGTCGATTTCAAGTAAATATACATTTATATATTAATATTAAAATAAAAAAAATAAAAAACCTATATTAATTATATAAATCTATTAGTTTTTTTTATCCAACAGGGCAACCAAATTATGGATTAAATAGTAGTTATGATAATATTGGTACAGGTTATGATACATCATCAACAATCAATAGTAACAATAATTCGAATATTAATAGTAATAACAATTCAATACCATCAAATAAAAAACTATCATCATCAACAAATAGTCTTGGTTCATCAAAAGATTCATTACCAACAAAAAAGAGAAGATACGTTATTGATAGAGATCATGTTTTTAATTGGATACCATATTGCAAAAATTATTGGAATAAATTAATAACTAATGGTGTAGAATTGTAAGTAATAAAAAATATTTATAATAATAATAATTGGTATACCTCAGATGTTCAGAAAAAGATATAGAGTTTTCAAATATAATATTTTTTTTTGAAAAAAAAAATATTTTCGTATCTGTTTGCAAACATTTTATTTTTGTACATGCACAAGAATTCGAAAAATTTTCAAATTTTAGTTTTTTATATGAATATTCAAATACACACCCAGAGACCAGGAGCGATACACATACACATACCATACACAAATATAGTTTTTATATTAATAATTTAATTTTTTTTTTATTATTATTTTTCTAAAATTTTTATTTTTTTTTATTTTTAGGCTACCACCAACATTAAGTGTTTTAGCAGAAAAAGGTTTTTCATATAGCGAAGTCGACAATTCTTGGGTGTATTATAGAAGAAATCATTTTCAATTAGGTGTTACAGTTCAGCATTATTTCCAATTTAATGAAACCCAACCACCATTTGTCAGTTTAAATAATAATCTTTACCCAGTTGATAATCTATTTCTTTGTATTAGAGGGGTTAAAAATGGACCAGATATCAATATCAGCGAAGAGATCGAGGTAGAGTTATATCAAACTAATTCAAAGCGTGAAAAAACTGAAGAGAAATTACCTCCACCAGTTATTATGACCCATTCAACAAATTTAACAATCCCAAGATTACATTTCAGAAAAGCAACAGCAAATAACGCAAGAAAACATAAATTACCAAACCCACAACAAGAGTTTTTTAGATTGGTATTAACTGTTGTTGCTAGATCTCAGAATAGAGATTTTTGTATTAATTCAATTATTTCTGATCCATTAATTGTCAGAACTGGTCATCCCACAAGCAACGGTACTGGTGTTGCTAATAATATTTCTTTAGCAAGCCCATCACCATCACCAAGTTTATCTTCAGTATCAGTACAACAACATCAACATCAACTTCAACTTCAACAACAACAGCAACATCAACAAGTACAGCAACAATATCAATCACAACAACAACATCAAGCATCTCAATTAAATAGCTCTTTTGATGGCTCAATTGTTTCATCATCAATTTCTACACCAAATCACCAAACTCCATTACATTCAATGAATCCAAGTCCATCATTATCTTCACCAATAATCACACCAAATAATAGTGGTATTGTTTTTCCATCACCATCACCATTAAATACACCTTCATCGCTATCTATTCATAATTCTCCACATTTAGCTCCACTTTCAACAAAAGAAAACTTATATGAAAAAATGATAAAAAATAATAATAATTATCAACAAAATTATGATAGTAATAGTATAAATAATAATAGTAGTAGTAATAATAATAGTAATAGTAATAGTAATAGTAATACCAACAATGTACAAATACAACAAACAGATAAAATTAATAGTAGTAATCATCATTTCTATCAAGCAGAGAAAGGTGTTTATGTATTACCACACAATAATAGTAGCAATGCATTATCAAATTATAACGATGTTCCATCATCGGAATTATTTTCACCAAGTGATAACTCATTTAATCTTTCAAATAAATTTATCCCACAAAATAAATTTATCATTCCAAACAACAACAACAACAACAACAACAACAACAACAACAACAACAACAACAACAACAACAACAACAACAATAATAGCAATTATATAAATAATTCTAATGTAAATAAATTATCATATGAACAAATTCAACAACAAATTCAACAACTTCAACACCTTTCACAAATGTATTATAGTAATATAAACAACAATAATAGTAATAGTAATAATAATAGTAATAATAGTAATTGTAGTACAACAACTACTTCAACAACCTCATCTAATAGTTACAATAATAGTAATAAATTAGTAAAGAGAAAGCTTTCTAATTCATATGATGATCATTTGGGAGCTGAATCATCATCACCAATTGTAGATAGAATTCAACAAACATCACCACTTCAACAACAATCTCAACAATATCCAAATCAACAAAACTCTTCTCCAATCAGTCAAGAAGAATCATCATCACCATCACAACAAATTCAAATAGTTAATAATAGCTTTATTAATGATCCATTGGCTCACCCACAACTACCACAACCACAACCACAACATATTTCAAATAATAGTCTTGGTAATAAATGGGCAACTAATACTGATGGATCATTATTTCATTTTGGTAATGTTGGTGTAAATAGTGAAAACCCTCAAGAGGCATTATCTGTCAATGGAAATGTTACAATTAGTGGTATCATGTATCAACCATCCGATAAGAGAGTTAAGACCAATGTTGTACCGGTTAGCTCCAAGAAACAATTAGATAATATTATGAAGTTAAGAATCTATGATTATAAACTAACAGACGAGTGGGTAGGAACTACAAATCTAACAGAAAACAAAGACAGAGGTGTCTTGGCTCAAGAACTAAAACAAAGTAATATTCCAAATGCTGTTAAGGAAACTGGTGATAGAGTATTGGATAATGGAAAGGTAATCAAAGATTTCCTTGTTGTAAATAAAGATGCCATCTTTTTAGAAAATGTTGGTGCCACCCAAGAGCTCTCTAAAAAGGTAGATAATGTTTGTATAGAGTTAGAAGAATTAGATAAAAAGAAAATTGAAGCTTTGGGAAATAAAATGAGCGAATTAGAAAGAACAACAATTAAAGAAATTGAAAAAAATCAAAAAAGAAGTAAGTATTTAAAAACATTATATTTTAAAATTTTATTTATATACTAATTTTTTTTTTTTTTTTTTTTTTTTTTAGAAAAAATATTTATATCTATCGGTATTGTAACACTACTTATAATTTTTGGACTTGTTGCTATTAGTATAATTTTAGGTACAAAGAATCCAATTACCAAAAATATTACAGTTTATACTACCTCACCGGGTTATTTAAATGGAGAAAGTGAAGATTGCTCCGAATCACTTGCCGATTCTTACTCTTGTTATATTTCTTCAACAACATCAGGTACAACTGCTTCTTCTGTGGGGGTATCTACAGCTAATATATTGTCTCAAACTACTGGCTCTATTGTATCACTTGTTACCGATATGGCATTTGATAATAAAGGAAGTTCATCTATATAATTAACTTTTTTTTAAAACAATCATTAAAAATTAACAATAAAATATATAATTTGTAAAAAAAAAATTATTTTTAAATCTATTATTATTATTATATTATTAATATTATATTATTACAATTATTATTACCAATTGTTTAAAAATTGTTATTTTAATTTTAATTTAAAAAAAAATATTTGAAATAATTAACTCTTAACTCGATTAAGTTTCAATATGGATTAGAGATAATCTAAAAATATACGCAAATCTATTAAAGTAATACATACATTATTAAACATATTATTTATATCACAAAAATAAAAAAGATTGGTGAGCACATGACAAATAATTATTATAATGAATCTATTAATAAATTATCGGTTATTAATTTGTAAGTTCAGCAAAATAAAAAAAGAAAAAAAGAATGAAATATTGCTCTTTGATAGCAATAAAAGGGGGATACATATTTCCCCCCAAAAATTTATTTTTTTTATTATTATTTTTTTTTTTTTTATTTTTTATTTATTTGGGGTGCCACTTTTTTTTGGATTTGTTATGTAGGTAAATTTTTTTAATTTTAATTAATTTTATTTACAATATATTTATTCTTATTAAATTAATATATATTAAATAAAAAGAAATATTAATAAAATAAAAATAAATAAAAAAAGGAATAATAAAAAAAAAATAAACAAAAGAAATAAATATAATAAAAAAAATATAAAAAAAAAAAATAAAAAAAAAAAAATAAAAAAAAAAAAAAAAAAAAAATGAATAAAGAAAATTTAAATATTCAAAGATCAACAGAGAGAATACCATTTTCAAATATTTCAAATATTACAAGAAATGATTCAATTAAAAGAAATAATTCAAATATAAATAATCAAATAGATTTGAGACCACAAATCGAAAATGCTAACAATAAAATAAAAGAACTTGAAGAGCAATTAAAATCAAAAAACGTTGAAATTAATGATTTAAAAACAAAAAACTCACTTTTACTCTCAATTTTTTATTCAAATAGAAACGATAGACAAGAGGATATGATATTTAATAATAATAGAATCAGAAAAATTCAAGAGTTAACAAACCACAACCAAGTTTTATTACAACAAATTCAACAAATTGAAAATGCAAATGAAACATTCAAAGATAGAACCACAACCCTTCAAAGTAACCACCGTGTTAGACTCATCCAAAAATTAAAATGTGAAAATAAAACATTAAAAGATAAATTGCAACACCAAGAACTCCAATTACAAAAACACTTTGAAGAGAGCCACACTCTATCCAAGGGCAAAAAATCATTAAAACAATCCCCAATTAAATTAATAAACTATTCAAACTATAGTACATTAATTCATCAAAATAGTTTTAATAATACACCAGATGAAGAAACAGATATTTATTGTGGCGAATGTTAAAAAAAAAAAAAAAAACTAAAGAAATCCTTTTATTTAATAAATAAATAAAATATTATTTTTTATAATCCAATTAAAATTATTTTATAATTTTATTTATATTATTATTTATATAAATTATATTTATTTATTATTGTTGGTTATTATTTATTTATTATTTATTTTTATTATTATTATTTATTTTTTATTATAATTTATATCTTTTTATTATTTATTTTATATTTATAAATATCTAGATATAGTTATTATTGATTTCATTTCTTTTTTAAAGATTGTAACATTTGTTGTAAATTTATCTTTGTTTTTGGTATCTAAATTATCATGAGTATTTTCCATTAATTGAATAAATGCTTTTTCTACTTTATCAGAATGTTGTGGATTGAATGAATGAATATACTTTTGTTTTAATTGATTAAAAGTATCTTGACTGAAAATGATACAAGTTAATAGTAATTTTGAGAAAATGAATTGATTATAGTTATCTTCATATATGATAATTGAGATGATTTTATCTATAATTTCATAGAGAGTGTTATGATTACCAAAAAAGTTTTGACGAATTGAATTTAAGCAAGTCGAGTTTTTCTTTTTCATTTGATAATAGCAAACTGTGACAATTTTTTCGATTGATGTACATGATGAGCTTGAAATGGTAACGTCGGAGCTATCTAAGCATCTGTGAAGCGATTTCATAATATGTAAAAAGTATTGTGGATTTAATTGAATAATGGTTAAAGAGTGACCAAGACATAAGGCTTCTAACATTGTAATATATGATTTTGATGCTTTTGGGAATGATAATAGTTCATCCAAACTAACAGAAAGACAAAGTTGGAAAATATAATCGATGGCACTTGTAAATGATGGGTCACCATATAATTCAAAAACACCAAAGTTACAATAACCACCTACTAAACAACGTGTAAATAGCAGCATTGAAGTTTGAATACCTTTAATCTTATATTTGTAGAGATCTTGTTTTGAAACATTGGCTTTAAGGATTAGTGATGCATAGGTTACTAAAATTTTGCTGGTATCTCTAAAAATAACAAATCCATTTGGTGATGAACTATCGAAAATTAATCTTGATTGTCTATTAAAAACAAATTCTGATAAAAATTTTAATAATGCTGTTGTAACTTCTGGGGTATCTACCCAAACATTTATAATTTTAATTAAAACATCTGAAAAATGTGTGTGACTATAATAAAAGAAATAATATTAGTTTAATATTTTTTTTTTATATATGGTATTTTAAAATAATACTTACATCCATTCGAAAAATAATAAATAAGTTCTTTTACTAACAGCCGATGTAACTAAACCCCTTAAATCTCTTAATAAGCCAATAGTTTTCTTTTTAATATCTTCAGTTCTAAATTCTTCTGGAGTTTTAATATCTAATAATCTTTTAATAGTTTGGTCGAATGGTTCAATAAATTCATCAAAATGATTTAAATTCTCATCAGTGAATAGTAATTTTCCAATGGTTTTGTAGAGGGTTGTTCTATTTCTAGAGTTTTGGTTCTTTTCTAAAAATGGGAACATGGCTGGGCCGTGACCTTTTAAGATATCTTTGGTGACTTTATTTTCGATTAGTAACTTTGATGTTGAGTGGCCATTGACAGAGTCCCAAAACATTTCTAAACTTTTCTTTATAATTTCATCGTTTTCTGCCCAATGATTAAAATTGAAGCCAATCTTTTGAATAATTGAAAAGAGAACAGAGGTGTGGTCGGTTGGCCCATTTAATTCGGTAATCTTTTGATAGATTTTACTGGAGCTAATTGAATTTTCACCAATATAAATTTTTCTAAAGTTTTGCATAAAGTAAATAAAAGATAACTCTAAAGCTATTCTACTGGTTCTATGGAGATAACTATTGTTGGTCTTGCTGGCCTCATCCACCAATTTCTTATCGTTAATGTTTATTAATACCATTACTCTTACTGATAACTCGCCGTCAATCTTGTCATGCTCTTCTGAACTGTT